AAAAATTTCAACTTATTTACTTTTGAATGTATAAATAAGTTTTTAAAAGTGTTACATATATTTTTTTATTCTATTGCAGTGATTTCTAAAAAGTATATCTTTTCTGGGTATTTAAAAATATCTGAAAATCTTACCTCACTTATTTATTAAATCCTTGTAAAGTTATCCTTACAAAAATGTAAAGTGGAAAATTTTCAGTTTGATATTAAATGTTTTAATTAAAATAAATTAAGTTTTAATATTTCAAGTTTATAAATTGAACTTTGTAACATTGACATTGATATAATATTGAGTAAGCTTTTCATTGGCAATGAAAAACTAATTTCAATTCTTGAATAGTATCAAAATCCCTACTAGTTACAAAATACAATTGCCTATAAATATGCATTAATAAAAAATGCCAAGTCAATTTAAGTTTAGCTGCCAAGTCCCATGAGTCCATTTTTACTTTGTTGGGATCTCATTTACTAATGCATACAGGAGACTCAAATGGAGAATGAAGGCAGGTGTGGTGGCACACACCTGTGATCCCAGCACTTTGGAGGCTAAGACAGGAGCATTGTGAGTTTGATGGAACCTGAACTACAGGTTTAGATTCTCTCATTCTCTTCTCTCTTTCTCTCTCTTTCTCTCTCTCTCTCTCTCTCTCTCTCTCTCTCTCACACACACACACACACACACACACACACACACACATGAATACAACAAAATTAAAATGGAAATCAGATAACATAAAATTTTAAAATCGTCTTTTAAAAAATGGCACAAACTATGCCAGTAAATGTCATTAGTCACTGGCCACTGATTATCAACACCACAAAAAACAAACGATAGAAGCATGAGTTTACATCTGCAAGAATTACAGAAATTTCAATTTGTTTTGAGTAATTCACATTGAAAGTTTGCACTCAAGCACTGGGCAGCAACTTCATGGATTTGATCAAGTCACCCAGAAACAGAGACATACTCTCCATTTTTCTTCAAGTTCATTTATTTCATGAGCATATGTGGTATAACTCTCAGATTTTCATTCAAGTGCTGTACATGTATTCAAGTTAGCAGCCCCAGCACACACTATGCTATTGATCTAGTCTTAGGCCCATTAGTCTAGTCATTTTCTCTGTCTGTCTCTCTCACTCTCTCTCTGTCTGTCTGTTTCTCTGTCTCTGACTATGTCTCTCTCTGTTTCTCTTTGTCAGTCTCTGTCTCTGTCTCTGTCTCTGTCTCTGTCTCTGTCTCTCTCTCTCTCTCTCTCTCTCTCTCTCTCACACACACACACACACACACACACACTTAGATTGAACATTTTCATATCTTTCCCAGACTTACACCGTGTGACGTGTGATCCAGCTGTGGTGTGACTGCTTCCCCACAGGCTCGGCAGTGACGTTCTGCTGCTGCTGCTGCTTCATCTCAGGGAAACTGGCTCATAACTGTGAGAATGTAATGTTCTAGTCAGTGTCTGTGGGTTTCCAGTTTGACCTGTGCTAAACTAATTTCCAAAGAATAAGTTATGCATTAAAATTATTTGTGTATCAGGTAATAGCGAAGAACTAATACCTTATTAAAAAATAAT